TTTAATCACTATTAATGGTTAAAGTATTTTAAATGTGCTTTGGGAGCTTGCCCTGTCATGTAATTTACTTACTAAGCAATGACTATCTCTAATATGTTTTAGTCATTGGGAGTTTCATATGTGGTGATTCCACTGTGTTGTCCTGTGCTGCTTTGCCAGTACCTTATCATGGGAAAACGTGACAAACAATTGTGAATTTACAGAGCAGCATGTGCTCTTAAAGAGAAGTAAAAAGTGGGCTGGAGAGATGGCTCAGCGGTGAAGAAGACTGGTGGTTCTTGCAGAAGACCAGGGTTCGAATCCCAGCACCCACATGGCAGCTAACAACTGTCCGTAACTCCAGTTCCAGGAGATCTGACATCCTCTTCTGTCCTCCACAGGCATTGCATGACACAGGTGTACTTACCTACATGCAGGCAACATAGGCATACACATAAAATAAAAATAATAAAATATTTTTTAAAAAAGAAGTAAAAAGTAGGATTATGGTATTAGAATCCTGTGAGTAAAAATACATCTAGGAGCTGGAGAGGTGGCTCAGTAGTTAAGAGCACTGACTGCTCTTGCAGAGGACCCGTGTTCAATTCCCAGCATCCACATGGTGGCTAACAACCATCCATAACTCCAGTTCCAGGGGAATCCAATGCCCTCTTCTGACTCCATGGGCATTGCATGACATGTGTGTGCTTGCAGGTTATATACTCATACCCATAAAATAAAAATAATAAAATATTTTTAAAAAATGCATCCTTATCTCCTATAAGACTATAACAAGTTTCTACAGAATGAACTACTTTTATTATTAATCATTTGTGTGTGTGTATATGCATAGTATGTATGTATAATGTGTATGCCATAGTGCATGTGTGGTGGTCAGAGGATAGCTTTGTAAAGTTGGTTCTCTCCTTCTATACCTGTACATGGAATCTGGGGATTAAACTCAGGTCTTCAGGCTTTCGGGACAAGCACTTAATACTTACTTAACTCACTGAGCAATATCCCTGGCCCAAGTAAGTTACTCTTGTGATACTTGACTCTCCTAGCTGAGGAGATTGACTTCATGTACTTTTGGGTGTTTTTTTTTTTTTAACTCAGTAAAAATTTGAGAGCCTTCCATTTAAGATATAGATTTATTAGCTATACCTTTTGTTGTCTCAAGATAATCTTACTTGGGGAAATACTGTCCATCGTTCTTATTAGGGTTCTCCCAGATTTGTTTAGATCTATTCTAAATGGTGGAGAGTTTGTCTTTTCTAGAAGGGGAAAGAATTGCTGACTAGAGTTAGCTTAAGTTGGGTAGTGCTTTGATTCCTTGTCTTCCTTTATTTTTATTTTATTTTTTGGTCTTTTTGAGTCAGGGTCTCCCTGTAGCCCCAGCTGTCCTGGAACTCACTATGTAGACCAGGCTGGCTTTGAACTCAAAGAGATCCACCTGCCTCTGTCTCCCGAGTGCTGGGCTCAAAGGCTTGTGCCACCACGCCTGGCTCTCTTCCTTTTATTTTAAACTGATTTGATTACAAATAATGGCAGGGTTGAGTGATGAAAGCTGGGGAGTGCGCAGACTTGAGGGAAAGGAAGACCTCTTACATCTCATGGGACCGGGCCTGAAGCTCAGTGGTAGAGTGCTCTTAGCACACATGGGGCTCTAGGTTCATCCTACCACATCCTTTCTTTGCCTGGTTGGATGATTTCAGAGGCACAAAGTTAAATTGGCATATTTATTAAGTTATTGATCAAAAAGAGTTTACTATCCCAGCATAAAAGAATAACGTGGGGAGGAACAGAAAGGAAATTAGCTGGAAGTCATCTTTCTGGACCATGGATTAAAAAGTTGGTCCAGCCAGGCGTGGTGGTGCACGCCTTTAATCCCAGCACTTGGGAGGCAGAGGCAGGCAGATCTTTGTGAGTTCGAGGCCAGCCTGGTCTACATAGTGAGTTCCAGGACAGCTGGGGCTACAGGGAGACCCTGCTTTAAAAAAACAAAAAAAAAAAAAAAAAAAAAAAATTCAAGGGAATATTAAGTTTTTAGGGCGGTTCTTTCTTTTGTATACTGGGGATCCAGTCCATGGCCTTGCTACTTGCTAGCCTGTAGGGTAATCCTATCTTAAGACTGTAGAACCTCTTGAATTAGAAAATTTGTAAGGCAGACTTTATGGAGTAGATGTGGTCAAATTTTGGAGGGTGTCCTCTCTCATTGGCTACGATGCAAGTATTCTACAAAGAACTACTTTATAAATATTTATTTCATGTGTATGAGTGTTTGCTTCTGTGTATGTCTACATGCATACCACATGTATGCCTAGTGCCTGCAGAGGCCATAAGAGGGCATCAGATCACCTGTAGCTGGAGTTACAGACAGTTGTTGGCTGCCTTGTAGGTTCTGGGAACCAAACCTGGTCCTCTAAGAGCAGTCAGTGCCCTTAACCACTAAGCCATCTCTCCAGCCCCCTGCTTTAGAATTTAGAGCTACAGATAAAAATCTCATAATCCTTAGCAGACTGTGAGCTAAGAAGCAACTGGTCTGTTCTGCTTTTTTTTTCTTGGGCCTCATCCTTGCTGGCAGGCCTGTGCAAGGAGCAGTGCAAGCTCTTTCTCCTGGCTTTTCTAGCTGTTGTCTTTAAGTAGTAGATGTTAATACCCTTATAGAATATAGTAAAATCTGGAAACTTAAAACAGTGAACCCCAAATATTAGAAGTTGAAGATTGTAAGGCATGCAGAAGCATACCAAGGAATACTGGGCTCCTTTGGATGTCTTTCTGAATTTCTCTGTACAACTTTAAGCAATTTTATTACCCGACATGTATGCGTGCGTGCATACGTGTGTACATATGCCACAGCATGTGTGTAAAAATCAGAGAACAACTTTCGGGCATCAATTTTTTCCTTCCATCATGTGGATCCATGCGCCTTTAACCACTGAGCTATCCCATTAGCCCTTACGAGTTTTGAAATCCAGACATTAAGTAGTATTGCCTAACAAACAGGAAGAATGTGATCATGTTAATCATTCCTTATGACATAAAAGTTCCTGCTTTTGCCCACCTGTGCTACATGTGAGCACACAGGCTGGAGAGCACCACATGCCAGGGCACACAGCCGCAGCTGCCTTCAGGTAGGATCTGAGCTAGAATTTAAATTTTGTTTTTGTTTTTTTGAGACAGGGTCTCTCTGTAACCCCAGCAGACCTGGAGCTCACTGTGTAGACCAGGCTGGCCTCAGTCTCACAGAGATCTGTCTGCCTCTGCCTCCTGAATGCTGGGATTAAAGGCGTGTATATCAGGCGTGGCTTAGAACTCAAATGTTTTTACCGTTTTTCTTTTGTCTTTTTGAGACAGGGTCTCCCTGTAGCCCCAGCTGTCC